AGGGAAATTCAGGCAACCTGGCCATACCGGGGACTCTACTGAGCTTAACCTCTAGAGACCTTCAACTGTTGGCAGTAACATGACTCGTTGCCTACACAGCAAGGCTCATGGCTTCCTTTCAGTTTTTAAAATTTAAACAATGTTTTGTTTATAGAAACACATAGGCAAGTGTGATTATCATAAATGGCAGGATGATTATCTCTTTAACAGAGGGAGGGTCTACAACAGACTGTTATAAGGTAGAGGTAATGTCCCATTTCTTAATCTGACTGGTAGATACACTGTTTTATTATTCTTTAATCTGTACAAATAAAACTTTAATCACTTTTCTGTATATATCATACATTTTAAAAATTAAAAAAAAATTAAATTAGCCATGGAATCTTTTTACATACTCGAAGTCCCCTTTTAGAAATATAATTTTAGTGGCAAAGGACTGGGGAGATGAGGGTGAAGAAATACTGGAAATACAAAACATAGGAGCTCCTAAATCATAAAGACAAAAGATGATGAATGCTCTCATTGAGTCAGGCAATGAGAATGAAAGGGAGGACAGGGATAGAAAAAACTCCACAAAGGCAAAACGAACAGCTGAGGGCTATGAGAGAATGAGACAGGCTGACGATGCTAACTTCCTGTCTGGGTGATGGGAGGATGAGAGCAACAGGCATGGATGGGTGGGTAACAAGGAACCAGTGAGTTCGGTCTTAGACATGCAAAGTTGGAGGAGCAAACAGTTCATCCATCAGATTCCCAGCAAGCAATTCAAACAGCAGAACCAGACATCATGTCAAGGCTGAAGTTGGACATTTTAGAGCATTAACAATGGTATAAGACTGAATAAAACAGAGCTTTAGGAGATAACTTGTAATTTAAAGGAGATCTGAGAAAAAGGAGGCAGCCAAGTCAGAGATGTGAGATGACAACTAAGAAACCACAGCAGTGGTGCCGGTAACAGAATTTCAAAAGCAAAATGGACAACAAAATAAAATCTAAAAAGAATTAGAGCTGAAGAGGGATTTTTGACCTCTCCGTGACTTTCAAGCACTCAGTTTCATATGCATGGTAGTAATAACAGCCAAAAGCCAATATATGTTTGTGCCTCCTCTGGGAAGAGGAGGCACAAACATATATTGGCTGTGAACAAACAGAGACAGAACAGTAGTTTGAGGGGGAAAGCAGAGCTAGGGCTTTTTTGTTCCTTTGGCTGTTTTTAAGATCAGAAGCTCATTAAGCTTATTTTTACCCTAAGGCAGTGGTTCTCAAGGGTCAGGAGAGATTTTGCCCCCCAGAGGACATACGGTAACGTCTAGAGAGTTTTCACTGTCAAACTGGGTGGTGGTTGCGAGGTAAAGGGCGGGGTGCAAGGTGCTACTGATATCTAGTTGGTAGAGTAGATGATATCTACTTTCACAAGAAAGAATTATCTGGCCTAAAATGTCAACGGAGCGGAGGTTGACAAGTTCTGCTCTAAGGGAAAGAAATGAGAAAAAGTGGAAAAAGAGAGTCTAGAGAAGACTCACCCTTAGAAAAGAGGGGGTACATTTTCCTCAGAGACAGAAGGATAAGAAAACTTATAAAGACAGGGAGAAATATTTCTAGTGTGACAAAAAACTGGGTAAGTCGCTAACAAAATTGCAAGTACATGAAAAAGCAAAATAATTTGAGGTATTTGTTTTAATAGTTTTATAAATCCAGATAGCAAGAATAATTATAAACATACTTACAAGGTCTGGGTTACTGTTACTTGAGGCAAATGGGGAGGAATGTTTTCTTTGAGATGCTCCACATCTTTATAATCTTCTTCAAGAGATTTATAGAGTTCCTAAAATTTAAAAAATGCTCACAGATAAGCATCTGTCCTGCCTGTTTTAAGGTGTTATAAAGAGCATGAAAGACAGTGAGTCACAATCACAACCATCGGTGTTCAGACGCAGAAGGGGTGAAAAGGCTCGGAATGCAGCAATGTTAAAAAGAGCCCTTTGGTTTCCAGAGCTGTTTTGGGATGGTGGTATAATATTTTTCTCTACCGGATTTTTTTCAGAGAACAATTGTTATAATCACATTACAACAGGCAGGGTCGACATTAAGTCTCTCTAAAATACTTTAACCTTGGGGAGCAACTAAAAAACATATGAAAGATTTATGTTTTGCCATCCTGGTAAATGGCTTTCATTGACTTAGCAAAGGGTCCTCCAGTGTCATCTGTATAGCAGCACCAGGGTGACAATGCATGCCTGGGATTCATGTATGAGATGCTGCTTAGAATAACTTTCACTGCTGATATGCATATATTCCAGCTTAATGAAAATTTCTACTTGATCAAAATCGCCTTTTTTGTTGTTGTTGTTATTATTTAACTTTCACGAAAACTTGAGGCTATGAATTCATGCCAATAGGAAAAATACTCTGTACCTTTGGATTCCTGTCATCTGATTCTCAGTCATAATGTAAATAAAAATTCCCAATAGACTTCAATTCGGTGTTGAACCTTCTCTGGGCCCACATGTAACCCTGGGCATTCTTGAGCAGGTTAGAACTGAAACCAATACTGGTCTCTGTTCTGAGTTTACATGACATCTTTCTTTTAAAGAGCTGAATGATATTCATAGATACTGATTTCATTTCAGCTAACAGTATAGGCATAATCATGTATATTTCTATAGGTGAAAAATCTTTACAGATCTTAAGGATTCTAAGATTGAAAGGGACTGTAAAGTCCACCTTGCTCAATCCCACTGAACAAGTCAATGGCTCTAAGAGCATAAGGTAATCGTGGTACAGACCAAGCATTTTATTAGCTAAGTCAATTAGAAGGCTTATTTAGTACATGTGAATGAGGTTCAAGTTTCTCTTGAGAATCTTTAAATTACATTTTATACAAATTTGGAAATGCAGAATAGAAGGAACCTAAGAAATAATTCAGCATGACCCATTATTTTCCAAATGAAGACCCTCAGATCCTAAGAAGTAAAAAATGGCTTTCTTGCAGCATTTGCATTTATTGCCTTTTTATGTTGTTTCTTCACTAGAAAAACATTACCTTCAGTGAATGGTTAGTTTGTTCTTGATACTGAATTTCCAATTCCAATTTATTTAGAAGTTCATTTACTACTATGATCTCATCTCCTATTTTATTTAATATAGTCTTCAAGGCAGGTTCTTGACCTGATAATAAACAAAGATAAAATGGAAAATAAACTATATAGAAAAGCAATAACATATATGTACCCAACCGAACTCTTTGGAGCAGAGCTTTACCTTAGAGAGACACTTGGTGGTGGAGGAAGATCTATTGTTTCAGGCCCTAGGACCTGCCTCCACGGATAATATTAAAATCTCATTTCTAAGTACTAGTATGGAAGAGAAGGGAGAGGTAAGTATAAGGTACTCCCTGAGTCTTTTGTTTCTGGCAAATTTCTCCATTATAAAACACCTAGAAATGCTACAGAAAATACTCTTCTACATGCATAGCAGAGCTTTCAGGACAATAAGGTAAATTCCCAAGGGATCTAACTTGATGAGAGAACCACAGACCAGGTGGTATGTGTAAGTTGATGTCAGCAGCCCTAAGCTGGGAGATTCAGAGGGAAACTGGACAGAGGTTGTTAGTCTCAGTGACCTAATATATTTGGTTTTAATGGGAATCGGAGCTAAGGTTTTGGGACTTCAAAGCACAGGGTGTTGGAAGTGAGAATCCCAAATGAAGCCAGGACCTCTCTGTATGGGATGTATCTTCAGTGCAAGTATAAACCTAAAAATTCTAAACACTAGCCAGGGAGATATAAGACTATGTTTTGGACTATCTCTCAGGTATGTGCAGGAGGTGGGGTGAGTGCCACTTCAGAATTTGTAATAGAGATTTGGGATTCATATTTACACTATCCACATTACTAACAATCCCTAAGCTGAGAAAGTAACATAAAAAGTCACAGGCTGGTGATAACCTTGGGATGTCTGACAGAAACAAACACCAGAGATGATAAAGTAGCACGCTCTCACATTCCCAACCCCACCTCCTAGCACCTCTCTCTAGCTTCATAAATTTGAGGATGGGAAAACCAGCATCTCTTCCTCTCTAAAAATAAAAGAAGTAATTTAGAAAAAAATTTTAAGGGCAGCTTAAAAGCACAAAAGAAAAACTATCCTCATAATCAAATCTTTCCATCTTTACTTCTAGCAACCAAACAGTGAAATACGCGAAAATAAAAGCAATTTCGCCACATCTGTAAATTATGGAGGCAGTAAAGTGAAATGGCTAGAAGCTTTGGGCCTGAAGTCAAGAGACATCAGTACCTACCTCAAAATTACTGCAACAGTAAGTAAAAAATTACATATAAGATGGGTTTAGTGCTGTGTCTGGAACCTAGTAAAACATTCAGCAAAAGCTAACTACTGTTCCACATCAGCACAAGAAGCAGCATATTATTCCATCTACTAGAGCAATGCTAATTATATTTGACACTAGGTTCATAACAAGTAAAACAAATTAGTAAGTAAATGAGAGTACTGATGTCTCTACTGAGATTAATTTCAGGGGTTAAATAACTAGTTGGATACACTGGTATTTCATATAACTTTTAGTCACCTAAATTTTAGGGCCTTTTTTTACTGATTTGCAAATTCACTACTTTTGATAGCAGTGATCTAGTCAATTACAGCAGCCAGAGTGGTAAACAAACTACTGGGCTTTATTAAATAGGCTGTGAACCAAACACAAATTATTCTCCCCACATGCAAATGACAGTTACCCAGTATGCTGTAATGTAATAGGTCAGACTGCTTTGGCCAGGCCTCAGGCTTTGGAGGGGTCAGCTGAATTCGAGCTTTGATAGTTTTATAAGTCTCCAAGTTATATCTTTTTATCCAACAGTCATCATGCCCTCAGAAAGAGAATCTTTTTAGAATTAGTCTAAACAAGACTAATTATTAAAAATCTAAATATCTTTTTAAAATTTCTCAATAGAAGTGGTATAGAAGTAGAAAGAGTACTAGACTGGGAATCAGGACACAGAAATTGTAGTCCCAACTGACTACTCCCAAGCTGGAGACCTGGCAAGTTGCCTGACTTCAAAGTCTTCATGTGTGAGATGAGGGGGCTGGAGGAAAAGAACCTACGGTTCCTTTGGTTTTAACTTTCTACAAAGTATGTTAACCACAAACTATAAAATGGATAAGGCTCCTTCATTAGAGGCTCCCAACAAGAGATGGAAAATATCCAAGTGCCTTGGAGGACATGTATAATTCAAAGAGGCATGCCAACCTTATAATTCCATATCAGAATTTAAAAAAAATTATCAATTCATAATACAAACTACAGTAAAAGTTCAACACAATCTTCTCAGCAGATGGAGTGCTGGCTAGCAATAAATCTTTAGCTCTCTTACGTAGGGCTGGGGAGCATATCATTTTTGTAAACAACATTTTCTCAGATTTGGCAAGCATCCTTTATTTCTTTGCTCTTTCATTGCATCATCCTCTTTCAGCCCCTAAAAATTTTGGAAGATAATTACAACATGCAAGTTTCTGGCTGTTTAAAAAATGGGTTTCATTTTCAATTAGTTGTTTCCTGGTGATATATAGTGATAAGCATCCTCTAAAGCAGGCTATCAGTTGGGTTATGGGCTACTTCTACTACCCTGGGCCTTTTCCACTTTTGTTTTTATCCCTTACCTTTTAGTATCTCTCCATTTAGGTCTAGAACCACAAATGCCACATAACCTTCAAATCTTACTATTGTGCCTTATGTGTCTCAGAAAAATGTAAGTAAATAAATCTAATAACTATCCAGTTTACTGTTCAATGTAACTTACATTTTAGTATCTTCTGCAATATTCAAAACACCGATGCTGGAGTGCTTTAAAAATCACTATTTGAAACTTAAAATTACTTTTCTAAGATATATTCACTTAACTAGGCATAAGATATCCTTCAAGGTGGAGCAATAATCAAAATGCATTATATAGACACAAAATTACTGGAATTTGTTCTACTTACCACAATTCCTTAATGACAGAGTTTTCTTAATATTGCCAATCTTCTCATTAATATGAGAGCATATCTGTTCCAGATCTGAAGAGGCCATCTTTTAAGGCTCTGAAGAAAAAATATAAACACATTTATCAGAAAAGAAAAGCCAGACAAGTTTCTGTTCGCTTTCAAAATCCAAGAATGGTTAATATCCAGTAAATCACATCCTCTTGAAAAGAAAGCACAAAATTCAAGAGCAATTTCTTTCAATTCCAAAAAATTTAGTTTCTAACCAAAGTCCAGTTTTACAGCCTTCTGTAGTCAATGCATCCCAAACCAGAGTACAGGGAATAAGCCTACGTAATTTAAGAATTTAGCAGCACTAATACAGTATTTATATATGTAGACAACATTGGTATGTTCTTTAAAAACACAAAATACACACGAATTCTAAGGAAAAACACAATACGTGAAAATAAACAGGTCCAAGTAAGCATCTCCCCTATGCTGTGGGGGACTAGGGCCTTTCCTATTTGGGGTTAGTAAGGAGGCAGACGGAAAGGAAGGAAAGCAACCAGTTACTGAGCACACCGAGAGGAGGTGAGAACGCCTAAAGCACCCACTCCAGCTACCCCGGAGAGCGGAGGAACGTCAAGCCCTGCTCCTGCGCCCCTCTTGGCGCAACCCCACACTCCCCCATCCCGCCCAAGGAAGGCCTTCCGCCTGCCTTCGAGAGCACGATCTCCAACACCAGTCTCCAACCTTGCGCGGGTCCGTGAGCTAAGGGCCCACTCCTGCCGGAGTCGCGAGCCACGCAAACCTTGGTCTCAGCCGAAGCCTAGGATCGCGAGACGCGACTCAGCGAGCAAAATTCAAACTGCCCGCCGGGATCTGGCGCCGCGCAGGCGCACAGCGGCGTTCTCGGAGCGCCCGCTGAGACTGCAAGCGTATTTTGCGTCATCCAAGACCACGGGGGGTTGGGGGTTAGGGGTGGGGCTGGGGAAGGGAAAAGGCGGACTTGGTCGGCTTTGCGGCCAAAGGCTACCTGGACTCGTGCTCCTCCTACGCAGTACCGTCAAGGTTGATCTTAGTCGCTTATCCTGGCGGTTGCCCAGCCAGGAGCCAAGCGCTCCGGAGATCAAATGGCGAGCTGAAACGGTAAGTCTCCAAATTAGAATCACCAGGGGCCACTTTTACAAATTCTAATGCCTAGGCCTAACCCCAAATCAATGAAATTAGGCACTCCGGAAGTGGAGCTCAAGCCTTAATATTTTTTAAAACACTCTAGATAATTCCAAAAAGCAGCCGCGTTTGTGAGCTTAAGAAAAGAAACAAACAAAAACCCCTCTTTTACAGCCTCTGTAAGGACAAATGCAAAGTTACAATAAGAAAAAGTTCTCTCTGTTGAACAAAAGGGAAATGCATTCCAGAGCAGGTGTGGCAGCTCCACAGTCATCAAGTATCCAGGTTCCTTTTATCTTTTGGCGACACCTTTCAAAGCATCACACATTCTGGCCTTCAGGTTGCTTGTGATGCAAGATGACCCTGCCAGTTCCTTCCCCAGGTGTTGTCACAGGCGGCAGAAAGAGGAAGAGACAAGGGTAACAGGCTCACCTACCAGCTGAGCCAGTATCTTGAAAGAGTTTTCTTGTAAACCACACCCAGTGGCTTCTGTCTGCTTTTCACTGGTCACTCACATCTACAAGGGAGACTGGAAAAAAAATCATTAAAAGTTAATCTGGACAGGTCTATTGCATCCCCAACAATATAGGGGTTCAGTTTGTAATAGAAAATGAGAGCATAGATTCTGGGTAGGCAATAGCAGCCTTGGCCATTTCTACTTCTTTTAAAAATCTTTTATTATGGAAATCAAAGTTAAAAAGAATGATATAATAAACCCCATGCCCAACCCATTACCTACTTTCAACCATTACTAAATTAACTGCAACTCTTTTCATGTGTACCTCTTCTCCTCCCATTCCTGCCTACTGGAATATTGTTTAATCTTTGTAATAAGTTTATGAATACTTATGATCATGATCTGCACTTTACAGATGAGAAAACTGAGACATAATTAACTTGCCCAAGTCAATAAATCACAAGTCATCTCAGAGCCTATCTTCTACCATGATGCTCTTTCTCTCAAGGCACGGGGTCATTTGCTCCCATGTTTTATGTTAAACAATTTCCATTATTGTTTAATTCCCTCATGTCATTTATATCACCACATGAACAATTCTAGTTTACTTATGAACTCCCAAGTTTTTGACACGCAACTGACTTTGACAGAAAGACTTTGCTACTCTAAGGATCGTGATGAAATCTCATGCTTTCCCACCCTGTCCTGCCCTGGATGAGAGTGAGTCATCCTTTTGTCTAGCGTCTCATGCTACTAGTCACTTAGTAGCTTTCTCCATTATGGAATCAACTTGCTATATCACAATACTTATGTTCAAGCAACCCTTATTTTACTTAATAATAGCCCCAAAGCTCAGGATAGTGATGCTGGCAATTCGGGTATGCCGAAGAGAAGCTGTAAAGTACTTCTTTTAAGTAAAAAGGTGACAGTTCTTGAGTTTATAAGGAAAGAAAAAAATTGTGTGTCAATGTTGCTAAGAACAAATCTGCGAAATTGTGAAGGAAAAAGAAAGTTGTGCTAGTTTTGCTGTCACACCTCAAACTGCAAAAGTTACAGCCACAGTGTGTCACAAGTGCTTACTTAAGATGGAAAAAGCATTAAATTTGTGAGTGGAAGACATAAACAGAAAATGGTTTTCAATTGACATAACTTATTACAGTACATTATTATAATTATTCTATTTAGTTATTGTTAATCTCTTACTGTGCCTAATTTATAAATTAAATTTTATTGTATGTATAGGAAAAAACATAGTATAGATAGGATTTGGTACTATCTATAGTTTCAGGCATCCATGGAGGGTCTTGGAACAGATCCCCTACAGATAAGGGGGACTGCTGTACCAGTAATCACTTTAAATGTCAATGGATCTGTTTACACCAATTAAAATACAGAGATTGTCAGAGTGAATTTAAAAAGAACATAAGGCTCAACTATGTGTTGCCTATAAGAAAACCACTTGAAATATAAAGAGTCCAATAGATTAAAAGTAAAGGGATTGAGAAAGATAAAATTGATAATACTAATCAAAATAAAGCTTAAGTGGCTATATTAATTTGGACCAAGTAGACTTTGGAACCAGGAATATCAGGGATGAACAGAGACACTACATAATAGTAGAGGGGTCATTCTCTGAGAAGCCATAGAATCCTAAATGTGTGCACCTAATAACAGAGCATCAAAATATATGAGACAAAAACCGACAGAAATGGAAGAAAAATAGGCAAATCCAATATTATAGTTGGAGACTCCAACCAAATCAAAGTTTTACCTAGAACACTATATTTGTTGTCTTCAAACTTGATAATCAGATTTTTTCCTTGTTGAAATACTGGTTGGAAGGCTCCCTTGCCACGTGGCCGCTAGATGGCAGGGCAGCACCTTGCTTGAGAACATCTGCAAAACAAATGCAAACCCAGATACGTGGCCGGAGAGAGGAAGTCCATCTGCTTTAAAAGTTTATGAAGCTAGACTTCACTACCTTTTTTCTTAGCAGTCACTTTATTTATTATTATTATTATTATAAAAGGAGAACACTTTTAATTGAAAAGTTGAACACAAAAAAGTCTAAAGAATAAAATGGAAATCCCTATTAGTTCTCCCTATCAGAAATAAACACAGGATCCAGGTCCTGATCCTGAGGATAAAATGGCTAAGTGTGGACCATTCCCAGCATTCTTTGTAAACACCCCCTGCCCAGGGTTTTCTCCTCTCTCACTATAAGTTTCACCCAAACCTAACCTTAATCTCAACTCGACCCAACCCTAACCCCAATCCACAGTCCCCCCTTTTAAAATGTGTAATGGCTGTTTTTTGTTAGCACTGTGAAACGATAAGTTCACCACTCACAGTGTTCATCATGAATACCAAATCTTGGGACAACTACAGCAGCGGGTACCCATCTATGTTAAATTGATAAGCTCTGTCATCTTAAAACAGATAAAAAGTGACATCTGAAGAGAGGTAACAAAGAAATTAGACTTTGGTTAAAAAAACAAAACATGTCACCTTTGGTGATCATACATAGGTTTACTTATTTAGGGGATTAAATGTAAATTTATATATTTTTTCAATTAAAATACAGTAAAATAGACTTTTTATAGGTTTAACAAATATATTGATTTGTGTAAATGCCACCACAGTCAGGATCCAGAAGAGTTCCATCACCCCGAAATAACTCCTTTGTCTGTTTATCATCACACCCTAATGGCTAACAGTGTTGAGCATCTTTTCTTGAACTTATTGGTGAAATGTATGTTCAAATCTATTGCCTATTTTTGAAATTAGTTGTCTAGTTTTCTTACTGTTGAGTTTTGAGAGTTCTGTATATAGTATACTAGAACTATTTTTTGTATATGCGTTTTTCAAATCTGTTCTCCCAACCTTTATCTTGTCTTTTCATTCTCTGAACAGAGTCATGCATAGAGCAAAAGTTTTGAATTTTGATGAAGTCTAACTTGTCTATTTTTTCTTTAATGTAGCATACTTCTGATGTGATGTCTAAAACTCTTCGCTTAACTCCAGCACGTGAAGATTTCCTGTTTCTCCTATGTTTCCTTCTAAAAGTTTTATAACTTCATGTTTTACATTTAGATGTATGGTCCATTTTCAGTAAATTTTTGTATAAGGTGTGGGGTTTGGGTTGAGGTTCATTTTTGTTTTTTGCATGTGGATGTTCAACTGTTCCAACATAATTTGTTGAAAAATACTGTTCTTTCTCCATCAAATTGCCTTTGTATCTGTGCAAAAAATCAATTGGACATATTTGAGTGAGTCTGTTTCTGGACTTTATATTGATGTATATGTCTATTCCTTCACTAATACCGTACTGTCTCAATTACTGTAGTTTTATGTCTTAAAATAAAAGCATGTGAATCCACCAAATTTCTTCTTTTAAAATTAATTTTGGCTATACTAGTTCCTTTGTTTCTGTAAGAATTTAAAAATCGACTTGTGTATAAGTACACCAGAAATCTTGCTGTATTCACTAGAATTGTGTTAAATCAGTAGCTCAACATGGGGATGATTGACATCTTAAATATACTGAGTCATCCAATCCATGTATCTGACATGTCTCTCCATTTAATTAGCTCTTTTTTGATTTTTCTCATTAGTATTTTGTAGATTTAAATACACAGATACAGCACATTTTATATTTATACCTACGTATCTCATTATTTTGGAGTTATTTTCAATGGTATTATTTAAAATTTTTTGGTTTCAATTCGATATGATGTCTATACAGACATGATTAATTTTGTGTGTTGGTCCTCTATCCGATGACATTACTAAACTGCTTATATTGCTTATATATTCTAGGAGCTTTTTTTAATTTTAAGATTCCTTCGGATTTTTCCATGTAGAAAATTGTGTTGTTATAGGGGAAGTTTTATTTCTTTCCAATTGGTATGCCTTTTACTTATTTTTTTTAGGTGGAGTGGGGGAGATCTCATTCTACTAAGACATAAGTATTATTTTGACAAAGAATGGTGAGAGCAGATGTCAATCAAGTGACACCTGTTGCCTAGGAGCAACAATCCCAGGATGTCAACTGACCACATGGTTTACAGATGTTGGGATAGCCAAGAAAGACATGACTCATGTAGGCACTGGATGGAACAATGCTTTACTCACGCAGAGAAGAGACAGCAAGATCAGCTTCAGTAATGAGTGTCTGTCCCCCATGGTCAGCAGGGCTTGCCCCGCAGCCAACACAAGGAGATGGTCTGCACGCACCCATCTTGTGCTGCAGGCCAAAGAACCTATTACCTCCCCCCCAGGAACAGATATAGCACTGGCATTGGCCAGGTGCCATATGACACACACAGGACAAAGAAGTACACATTAAGCCGGGAACAGGAAAAGATATTCCCAAACAAAGAGATATACGCAGCACGGGCTGTACGTGCTCTTTATCTCTCTGCAAGGAAATGTTCCAGGCCCAAAGGGCAAGAAGCCGCACATGACTGCCTTTCCCAACAGCAACATCCTTGTATTATTCACAATCTTAAGAAGAAATCATTTAGTCTTTCACTATTTAAGTGTGATGTTAGCTATATATTTTTTATAGTTGATTTTATCAGTTTAAAAAATTGATCTTGTACCTTGCACCTTGCACCTTGCAACTCTACTGAATTTTATTGCTTTAGTAGTTTTTTTTTTCTTCTTTTGGGATTTTCTATATATAGGATCATGTTATCTAAGAATAGAGATAGTTTTACTTCTTCATTTCCAATTTGGATGCCTTTTTATTTCTTTTTTTTTTTTTTTGCCTGATTGCTCTGGCTAGAACTTCTGGTAGACTGTTGAATAGTAGTGATGAGAGTGGCCAATCTTGTCTTGTTCCTGATCATAAGGGGAAAGCTTTCGGTCTTTCACTATTTAGTATAATGTTAGCTGCGAGTTTTTCATTAATGCCTTTATCATGCTGATAAAGTTCCCTTTTATTCTTCGTTTTCTGGTGGTTTTTACCATGACAGTGTGTTAGATCTTGGCAAGTGTTTTTCTTCATTATCTGAGATGATCATTTTTTTCCTTCATTCTGTTATTGTAGTATATTGCATTGGTTGATTTTCTTTGGTTGAACCACCCTTGCATTCCTAGAATAAATCTCTCTTGGTCATTGTATATAATGTTTTTTAATATGCTGTTTGATTCAGTTTGCTAGTATTTCGTTGAGGTTATTTTGCATCTGTTTTTATAAGGGATATTGGTGTGTAGTTTTCTTGTGATGTCTTTATCTACTTTGGCCTCAGGTCACCTGCAGGAGGGGCCTGGTGATACAGACTCCCTGCTTCAGTCTGCTGCCCAGGAGGTGGGTTTTCTCAGTTTCCTGCTCCTGGTTATTTCACCCTCTCCTGAGGCCCATGATACCATTCCTGGCTTCCCTGAGGTCAACCCCGTTCCCCGCTGAGGACGATCCTCTTTCCACAAGTCCCCAGACATGAACTGACTAAGCCCCTTTCGAGGCGGAATGGAAGCAGCTTGTCTGCAGGCTCTTTCTTCTGCACCCAGATTTCCTGGTATGGGTGATGGGCAGCTGGTAGCCAGCTGCAGATCCTGGCCAGGAAGGTGTTGTATTCCCCACCAGGACCCCAGGTCTTCCCTGAGAACCCTGGTTGCGGGGGTAGTGCCTGTAGGGGTCTCTCTGGAACAGTACCTGGCTCAGGGACAGCCAGGTCTTCTGAGCCAAAGCCCTTTCTGCTACAAGTGCATGCTGACCACCTGGGGAATGTGGGATTTCCATTATGGAAATCTGTCCTCCAAGAAGCAGGTTCAGAGGTTGGACACATCTCCATGGGACCGAGGAACCCCATGTGAGACCTGACTTTTGGGGGCTCCTTTGCTGGATGCCGAGCTCTTGGAGTGCCTAGGGTTTCTGGTTGGGGTCCCTTCCACCGGTGCCAGAGTGGAGGCACCAACCAGTAGTGGTGTGGACCTGGCTGGGGATAGGGCTGAGGCTACTGTGAGACCTGGAATGAGTGGTGGCCACCACCCTGACCCCGGTTCTCTCCTCCCTGCTCCGAGAGGGGCACTCCTGCCCGCTCACCCCCAGTTTAAGCTGGTACATTAAATAGCAAAATAACAAAAGCATCCTTGGGGGGCTATGAGGGCCCTAACTGCATTGTTTTTAAACTAGATGTGATCTACTGAGGGCTTAACAGTTTCTATAGTGTATAAACTATAGGTTATAAAGGGATTGTAATTAGACCCTCGACTTTTCTTTTTTGAGTTAAAGAAGCTCTTACTCTGCCTCTCATGCTAAAGTGGAGGGATGAGTGAAAACAAGGTGAAGACCGTGCAGACTCAGGTCCTCGCCAGGAAAAAGTCGCCAGTTCCTGTGTCCTTGGTTCCTATGGTGACAGTGCTGCTTCTAGACTCACAGGATACACACACCATGGCAACCAGATCATTGTGTGCCAGAGTGGGTCCCTGGGCTCTGCAGGTCGCTTCAATCATGGGATTCCCCACTTCAGAGTGGACGTGGGCAGCGGACAGCGGGAGACAACATGACCACTCCCTACCTGGTAATCGTGGTAAGTGCAGGTGGGCAGTGCGTTTCTGGGACCCTCTGCAGGCCTACCCCTCAGCTATGTCTAATCTACCTGGACCTGCACCCTACCTAAGAAAAGAGCATGCTCTGGAGTGTTGTGTTGAGATTTGAAAGATGAGAAAATATAAGCAATAGAATCTTTGCCTCTTGCTCCTCCACACACCACAAAATCTCCATACACTACTTTATATTTATGATGATCTATATTTAGATCTATCTTTAAATAAGTATAACCTGGGATCTTAAAGGTCTTTATGGCTAAGGATCCCATTGAAAATCACCTTAATATGGGGAGCAGGTATCATCAAAAGTTACTGCGCTGGGTGGCAGGAGATCTGAGTCCTGAGCTGGCCATTATGCACCTATGTGCACAGCTCATTAGGAGACAGAGCAGTGAATACAAAGGGCCCTGGAAGGTTTACCATTCAAGAAACACAGGATTCCTGCTTTAATGGAACTCATAATCTAACTGGGGAAACAGTTTCCCTGTGCATAAAATTATTATATATAATGAAGAAGGTAATGATGTGCTATGTTGTTCATAATGGAAGATTTTAGAAGAGAGAGAAGGAATAATTAAGAGGAAATGAATAGCCAACACAGAATAGTAGGAAACAGTTTTGTGATGCTTCATTTTACATGTAGCGAACCTCTTCTCTAGGTCCAAAGACCTTTAAAAAATCCTGGAACTAGAAAGCAGTAGACTGGAGGCTTCTGCAGACTAGGATTCAAGGTGATATTTACAGACTGGTGTTATGGGAGACAACACTGATCTACTCAGAGGCTGGACCGTAGAGCGATTGCCAGGGCTTGTATAGGAGTCAGTAGGAACTGGAAAAACCTATCGCCAAACCAGAGGAGCAGGCCTGTTCAGTACTTCGAGTTTATGGAGGATGTAAGCAGAAAAGAAAGAGAAAGAGTAGAAAGTTGGAGCATCTGCTCCAACTCATGCAAATCCCAGCAGCCTGTGTGTGATAAAAAAGCGTGGATATTAAGAATGGAGGAGCTGGGGTGGGAAAGGTCATGTGATTAAAGCCAACACGAAATAGCCTAAATAAGCCATCTTCATAATTTTAAATGGCTCTGGAAGGGACCTTGCAGTGTCTCTAAACATTTCTTCAGAGAGACAGCAGTTGAAAATATAATGTGATTAAATAAGAAAAGAAGCTGCTATTTGGTGAGGTCTTCCTATGGACACAGCTTATTTAATCCTCAAAACAGTCTTTTTAGGGAGACATTGATTTTGCCCATTTTTACAATGAGAAAACTGAGACTCAAAAGAGATGAACTTTCCCAGCATCAACCATCTAGTAATGGCAGAATCTAGAGTCAAACCCAGGTTATAAAACCTGGGTTTTTAAGCCACTAAATTGTACACTTGAATTCTAGAAACTATAACTTTAGATACTAAAATAGTAATAAAAGCTTTTAGTCACCTTGAAAACACAAGATGGCTATCCAATCCCTTCCTCTCCTAGAAGTCTGTAGCCTCTAAAATTTATATAATTCTCATGTGGCTTAGTCAATTCCCAGTTCTAACTCCCATGAGACCCAGTCCTCTGGTACATACCTTCTACTTGCTCCCCCACCCCAGCATCGCCCTACCTCATTCAACCCAAATCTAGGCACGTGTAAGTGCTCCTTGAGCCCTGAATCTCATACCAACTTCTGATGTTGATTTGCAAACTATAACAATGTAAGTAAATGGATTTAATCCTTAATATGATAGATTCTCGGATTTAAAAATGAACAAACCATAATTCAAGTATACATAGTTTGAGACACACCTAAACCAAATGGGCCCAAATGTATAAAAAGATAAAGGGTGGGCTGCATATAGACAGCATTATCCTTCCAGTCTCACCTCCAGCTTAAATCTAACCCCTCTGAGCCCAAGAGTTGCCATGGACTTTGATTTCAAAGATAATATGGAATATTCAGGCGTGGGCATCTTCAGACTTCCAGGGGCAAACCTAGAAATGCTGAATCCCCCTTTCATCCTCCCACCAACTCGAGTTGCAAGGAAGAGGCAGTCACCCTCCCCTTAAAGATCAGTCTCCCCACTCTGTCCAGGACTTTGCCTTTTAAATTCTGCCCTCTGTTTACTGTGTAATTCTTCTCCCCCAGGATTTTAAAATTCAAACCTTCTTCCAGCTCTGATCAGCCAGTTGATAAGTCATTGAATACAATTAAATATCCCTGACTTTAATCCATTTGCTTTTAGCATTATTTTCATTGACCATTTTTAAGTGTCTGCTTTGGGTTCTCAGTTAAGTCTCTTGGAGAATTTCCTAGCAACAAGACCTGCAGCTGGGAGATTATGTCCCTCAGGGAGAATAGGGTGGCGCAGTACAGCATCCACTATACCTATACTTTCCATTGACAAACTGCCCTCCAGAATGACATGTATGGATTGTCTGGTCTTGCCCAGCTCCTGGTCCTGTCCTTCTACCTGCTGTGCCCCGCAGATGTTCAAAACAGCCTTGGAATTGACAACAACCGTCCTCTTATGAACCATCACACTTAGATTTGTTATTGCTTAGAAAAACAGGGTCAGAATAGAAGTCCAGTGGACAGGAGGGGAACTAGATCAGGAATGGCTTAAGACCCGGTGGTCAGGTGAGCAAGGTGGTTGTGGCAGGACTCAAGACTTCTCTGACAAATGTGCCTTGATGATTCCCTAGCATCTTCAAAGGAAAGCCCAGATTCTTTGGCGTGAAGTCCTAGTCCACCATTGTCCCAGCTCCTGCCAACCTCACCAGCCCGAGCAAGCAGCTCCCCGCGCCCGGCAGTATAACACCACCCTGCTAATACATGCATGCTGTTCTGACACCTCTACCTCTCTGTTCATGATGTTATTCTGTCTGGAATACCCTTCAGCCCATAAACCCTTTTTATTGTCTCTGGATAATTCTAAATCATCTTTCAAAGTTTTGCTCAATAATTCTCTCTGCAGGCAATTTTCCTTGATCCCTTCAGACTGGGTCAAATTTTTCTGAAATTCACATTCCTCTATTATTTAATGGTACTTTTAACATTACTGAAATTTTTTGATTTTTTTTTGTCTCCTCTCCAGCTACGTCGTGAGTTTCTCATGGGAAAGTATGTCGTGTTATTCACAAAAATAGATTTCCTGAGAGTCTCCATCCAAACCGGAGAGTGAGCCGGCAACCGAGACTGGGGGCGTGATCAATGGTGAGGTGAGGACTGCGCACACTCAGCAATTCCACCCCCAATAGGAAGTCGCGAGTCCTGGCGTCTTCGGTTCCCATAGTGACAGAGCCTACCTCCAATCTCTTATTTCTTGGGTATCCCTTGTGAGCGCAAAGCACAAAAATATAAAGTCAGCCGTCAGAGATGGTGAAGTGGGAGGTGAAGGGCCTCACTCTCAAGGGGGTGATCACAGTTAAAATGAGGAGATTGGAAGAGTATGCGAGACCCTGAGATTTCTCCAGCTATCCCCGCCCCCAGGCCTAACCCAGCCAAACCGAACTGCAATGTGGTAAGGGTTCCGGGTGAGAGCGGAGTGTGCTCTGGTATATAGTAAGGGGATTTGACAGATGGGTTCACCACCTACCCTACCTCCAAAAAATGTTCTCCATGAGTCAGCTTTAATGTACACATTGTCTGAAAAATCAGCTTTAGGGGTCTTGAAGGCCCTTCAGTCTCCAAGACACCGAGGAGGGCTGTCCCCTTGCGATAGGGCGTTATGTCCTAGGAGAGACACAGGTTGGGAGGCAGAAGATCTGGGCTCTGAGCTGGCCGATAACCAGCCTGACATATGGAACTAGTATAGCATCTCTTGGAGCATAGTCTGTGATGTAATGAAGCTGTGGGTGTCATCCCTGTACCTTTCAGCACTCTCAGTCTTCTATGACTGCTTTATGTGATCAGTTCAACCCTGAGGGCCACTTGGCTGAACTGACCCTGAAAATTCAAGGAAAGATGGATGGCTGAAAGGATTGTTGTTATGAAGGAGACCAAGGGAAGCCTGCTTGCCACAGAATGTTGAAAGGTTTTGCGTAGTGCTGCAGACTGTTGGTATAAGTACCCAAATCCCTTTGTTTCTGCCTAGCCAGCATAGTTCTCCAAAAACCTCTCCACCTGCACTTATACAATTACAGAGATGTTGATTTAGCCCCTGCAGTGTGTATACACAGTGAAATACCCACGTGGTCACAATTATCCTATGCATTATTGGTGGGAATGTAAAATGATGCAGCTACTTCAGAAAACAGCCTTCTGCTTCACCAAGAAATTAAACAGAATTACCATATGATCCAGTGATTCCATTCCTAGGTATATAACCAAGTGCTGAAACATATGTCTATGCAAAAACTTGTATTCAAATGTTCATATCAGCATTATTCATCATTGCCAAGAAAGTAGAAACAACTCAAATGTCTGTCAATGAATGAATGGATAAATAAAATATAATATATCCAAACAGTGGTTTGGCCTCATAAAAGAATGAAGTATTAATGCCTAGTACCACATCAATGAACCTTGAACTTGTGTTAACAAGCCAGTCACAGCAGACTACATATTGTATGATTCCGTTATTATGAAATGTCCAGTCCAAGAAAATCTACAGAAACAAAAAGTAGATTTGTGATTACCCAGGGCTGGGGAGGTTGAGAGGAAATGAAGAGGGACTGCTAACGGGTACAGAGTTCCTTTTTTGAAGTGATGAAAATGTTCTAAAAATTGATTGTAGTAATCTTTGCACAGTTCCATGAGTATACTAAAAATCAATGAATTGTGAACTTTAAGTGGATGAATTTTATGTTAGAAGAATTATATTTCAATAAAGTTTTTTTTTTAAAGAAAATACAATGAAGTAAATAAAATACATTGCTGTTGAAACTGGTACATACACTTTGGAAAAATTTGGGAGTCTAAAAAAATTAAACATACTCTTACTATATCACCTTGCAGTCCCACTTAAATGTTTACTCAAAAAAATGAAAATTGATATTCCCACAAAAAATTTCAGCAATTATTTATAGCAGCTTTATTCATAACTTCCCAAACCAAAAACAACCTAAGTGCCTTTCAATAGATAGATAAAATATGGTACATCCATACAAAGAACACTACCATAATTAAAAAGAAGGAAATATTGATTCATGCAATAACGAGGATAAATTTCAAAAGCATTAATCCAAGTAAAAGAGGCCTATGTAAAGTGTTCCTTTTATACGACATTTTGGATAAGGCAAAATTATAGGAACAGAAAACGGATCAGGTATTTCCAGGTGCTAAGGATGGGGAGAGAGGTTGAGTACAATGGAGTAACACAAGGGAATTTTGGGGGTTGAGAGAGTTCTGTATCCTGATTGTGATCATTGTTAAGTGACTGTAAACATTTGTTAAAATTTGTGGAACTATACAGTAAAAGGGATGAATTTTCTTGTATACAAATTATAATAAATGAACTAAAAAATACATTTAGTTCTGACTATGGGAAAGTGCTCCCATCCTTGTAAATGAAGGGCAGCAGTTTAGAGACACAACAAGGATTTTCAGCATTATGTTTAACGTGAGTTCAGCTCATATAATGATATGTAGGGAGGGCTGGTGAAGAGTTAGTAAAATGAAATGTGAGTTGTGGTCAAGTTAGGCAGGGTTTATCTGCTATCTTGGTTAGTAGAGGAGAGCCTGGGACATCTGTGGGACCAAGACATGGAGGCATGGGTGCAGCAACCAGAGAGATGGGGCTATCACTGCGTAGATGAGGAAGCTGACATTTTCAGAAAATACTAAGAGAGAATGAGCCTAAAGGATATAATCTAATCACGAGAACAACTGATATGTTTTAAAAATCCAAGTTAGGAGGTACAGAATAGATTACTGGGGTCCTTTATTCCTACCCAAGACAAGTAGAAAAAGACAAGTTCCATATCTAAAGCCAATTAGCAAAGTGCCTATTGGATCTCAGAATGTGGTCAGTGACCACATTTAGCTGTTAGTAACATGCTCACCAGCGGCTGTTTTGCTCAGCAACTGGGTAAAGCGCTTCATGTCCGCCGTTCTTATTTGTGTTGTTTTACACAATCCGAAAGTTTTAACATGGCGCTTCTTGTGTCGCTCACTCTGATAAATAGTATAATTATTAATATGTTCCAACAAGGGGTCTAACCACACTAGAAAGAAGAGTGTGGCCCAGAGATTCTTCCTGGGATTGAAGCAGCCACTTGTATAGTGCTGAGATTAAAATCGATTACCTTATTAAGGAAGAGTTGTATCTTGAAATAATATAGTGGTAGAAAAAAATCAGAGACTTACCTCTGCTCCCATTTTTGTTAGATTAAAGGAAAACATTTATTCAAATGAAAACAGAAACCTTTATATTTGCCATGCTTCTTTTAGTACTATGAATAATTATGCAAAAAATCCTTTACATAATGAGCAAATATAAGCACATATATTATAAATTCATATAGGATTACATCAAATATTTAAGAACAAAAAATACAGTGTTTTATAGGTACATTTGTTTTTTGAAATGCAAACAAAAACATTGTCCATATTAAGACAGAATACTAAAAACTTTTACAAACTATTCAGAGAAATTACACAAGAATGATTTTTTTGGGTTCTTTGTTTTGTTTTCACACAATTCCCTGCTATGCTTGAGATCAAAAGAATGTTGGAATAATTACAGCTTTTAAAACAGCACAGACATAACATTGGCAGCCTACCATAAACCTTCTGAAAACTGCAAACATTTGTTTTCCTAAATCATCAGAAGAAATGGTAAGTCAAGGGACACAGCAGGGCGATAAAGTCATATCACAATGCTGGAAAAAGACAATTTGGCAAGTGGTGATAATAACTTCAATTTGGTTGTGTGAAAGGCAGTGCCTGAGAGACAATAGCAATAATCACAGCAGGCTCCAGCAGGACGTCTCTCCCTGTATGAAGGGATTCCCCTTCCTAACCTAGTAGGCCCACAGAAGGTGGGGAGGATGGGGTCTGACACAGTCAGATCCCGGAAGAAATGACCTCAGGTTCACCTGCCCCAAAGAGCCAGGTGACACCTATCTCTGATGTGCCATAAACTCCAGCCTGACAGGGAGGTAGGTTTTCTTAGCCTCCTGCTCACTGGTTGTGTCACCATCTGCTGAAGTCCACGATGCCCTTCGTGGCTTTCATGAGGTCAACCCCATTCCCATCTGGGAATCCTCCTCCTTTCACCTGTTCCCCACCCCAACTGTGTGATCTGCCTCTTCCCACATGGGGGCAGATGGTTGAGTCCCTGAGGGGGATGAGAGTGGTTTGGTTCTAGGCTCCTGTCTTATGCCACCAACTTATGACTTTGTTAAAATAATTAGTAGAGCACAGGTTACCCGATGATGAGCCACCCGCCACCGCCCCCCCCCCCAACACTCACCCACCACCCACTCCCTGCCCTTCAATAACAAACCACAAGAGAAACTGGATTACAATAGTTTATCACTTACAGGTTCTGGAGGAAGTACACTGCATTCCTCCAGAGGCAACATGGGGAGGTCCAGGCAGAGTACAGACAGAGAGGCAGGACCTGGGCTACATGCCCTTATTAGGGACCGTGGGTGGAGTGCTTTGGGGTTCCCAGGCTAGGGTTGAATCCGTCAATTAAAACCAAAAGAAGAGGGATTTGGTAAGCCCCACAGGGTCTGACCTAAGGGGTGCATAAAGCAAACAGGCACTGGGAGGCAGGGGAGACTTGGTTACAAGGGCTGTTGGGGAAGTCATATCAGGAATTTACATTTGCTTGGGACTCTGTGGCTGCCATCTTGGACACAGGCTTGCATAAGGGGGCTAGTGTCAGTTTTAGGTTCTTGCAAGCCACTTGGCCAAACAAAATGTAGGCAGCAAAATGATGGCGTAGCTTAGCTATACTATCCATATGCTGACATGAGTTTCCCAGTGAGGGTGGACGGGCAGTGCGTGGCCTCCAGAGAGCCACCCTGGGCGGTGGGCAGCGCCAACGGGGTCTTGCTGAGACAGTACCCCACTCTGGGACAGCCTAGTCTCCTGTCGCTGAGTGGCGGGTGCTCGCTTGACCTCCCCAGGGTTGCGGGATTTCAATTATGGAAACCCGGGAAGCGGGTTCAGAGGTTGGACACATCTCCATTGGGCCGAGGGACCCCACGTGGGACCCAACTTTTGGGGAGCTCCTTTGCGGGATGCCGAGCTCTTGGAGAGCTCAGGGTCTCGGGTTGGGGCCCCTCCGTCCGTGCCATAGTGGAGGTACCGATTTGCAGCGGAGAGGACCCGGCGGGGGCAGGGCTGCGGCTGCTGCGGTGGTGGCGGGGAGAACAAAGTGACTGCCACCCTGACTCCCGCTCTCTCCCGCCTGCTCCGAAAAGGGCGTCCCGGCCTGCCCACCTCCCATTTAAGCCGATACAATAAATAGCAAAGTAATTAAAATCTTCCGGACGTGCTAAGAAAGCCCTAACTGTGCACCCTTGGAACCAAATGGGATCTAACCAGATTTTTATATTATAAGATGCAATTAGCTGTATAAAAAGGAGTTGTAGTTAGATCTTAACTTTTCCAAGGGGAAAGACGTACAGAACCTGGAAAACATGCAGAGAGGGTGGCCTGAGTGGAGGAGAGAATCGCGCAAACTCAGCTTCTCGGCGCCAAAAGGAACTAGCTAGTTTTGGCGGCGTCGGTCCCCATGGTGATGCTGCCCACTTCCGGCGGAACGAACACACCTCCAACCACCCTCCTCAGGGACTGGGTAGCCCGTGGCAACCAGAACGCCGCGCCTTGAAGCAGTGCTCACTGGTCGCTTCAGTTTGGGGGATCCTGCCTGTGAGGCGGCGGCTGCAGGTACCAGAGGCCCCCAACATGTAAAGACAACTTACCGGCTTTGTGGGGCAAGAAGAGGTGAAAAGCCTCACACTCCTTACTTGGCGATCGTGGTAACGGTAGCAGTTGCGGGGTTGGAAGGCAGGGGAGCTGTAAGTGGGAGGAGGAAGACGAAAGAAGGACGTTAATGACCTGGGCCCTAGACCCTATAAACTTGTCCAGCTGCCCCCATTCCTCGGCCTAGCCTAGCCCAACTGGACCTACAGTCAGGGCTCATGTTAAGAGGAAAGGGTGACATCCCATGTTTGTGGGTTGGAAGACTGTTACCATGGCAGGACTCCCCCAAATCGATCAACAGATACAACACAACCCCTATCAAAATTTAAGCTGACTTCTTTGCAAAATTAGACAAGTTGACAAAATTTGTATGGAAATGTAAGTAACTCGAAGTAGCCAAAACAGTATTTAAAAAGAATAACAAAGTTGGAGGACTCACACTTCGGAATTTCAAAACTTACTACAAAGCTACAGTAATCAAGACATATAGATGTGTAGTACTGGTATGAAGTAGACATAAAGATCAATGGAATAGAACTGAGAGTACAGAAATGAACCCTCATATTTACTGTCAATTGATTTTTGACAAAAGTGCCATAACTATTCATTGGGAAAAGAATAGTTAATAAATAGTGCTGGGGCAACTGGATACTTATATGCATAAGAATGAAGTTGGGCCCCTACCTCACACTGTACAGGAAACTGAAAATGGATTTTTTTTAACTCAGAATGAACCAAAGACCCAAATGTAAGAGCTTAAGCTATAAAACTATCAGAAGAAAACATAGATGTGAATCTTTGTGATCTTGGATTTGGCGATGGTTTCTTAGCTGTAACAATAAGAGCACAGCTGATAAAAGAAAAAATAGATAAACTGGACATTATCAAAGTTTAAAACTTTTGTGTGTCAAAGAACACCATCAAGAAAATGAAGAAATGATCCACAGAATGGGAAAAAATGTTTGGAAATCATATGTGTGATAAGGGACATATATCTAGAATATTTTTAGAACTATTACAAGTAAATAATAACAAATAACATGAAAAAATAGGTAAAGGATCTGATTAGATATGTCTCCAAAGAAGATATAAAAATGGCCAATAAGCCCATGGAAAAATGTTCTATATCACTACCCATCAGGGAAACACAAATCAAAATCACAATGAGATACTATTT